GATAGATAGATAGATAGATAGATAGATAGATAGATAGATAGATAGATAGATAGATAGATAGATAGATAGATACTTTATCTCAAGCTGGGAAATTGCAGTATAGCAGCAGCTTTATACATAGTGACAGACAACACAATGAGGTAAAAAAGTAAAATTAAATCTAGTTTGTTGTCTCTTAATGAATAAAACAGTTTTTTCCGCACCTCTAATTTCCTCCCCGCAAGTATCCAATACACATGGCCTCTTTAGACTGTTCGTCATTTGAAGTTAAAAAGATGATCAACATTTCTCTGCTTCCATCCAATAAGGTTGACTCTGTTTTTATAAGGTGTTTATTATAAATTAGAGAGCCTAATTAAAGTAATTAATGAGGGCTCTTCATGTTTTTTTTCTCATTTTGATCATTAGTGGAAACTCCCTGTAGTGTTTAGAGGAGTAATGTCGGGTTCTCCTGGCTGCAGATTAGAGGTGTAATGAGCTAAATATTGATATGTTGACTGAAATCCTGGAAGCTGAGATTTGTGTTGATTTGGATTAAATTCAAAATAACACTGGTTGTCATGACCACTCTTTCCTCATTCTTTAACTACGTTCCTTTACTATATCCCTCTGTTTGTGGAAATAAGATGATACTGCAAATCCATCTGAGGCAATGGAGTTCATCTAGGTTATGTTGATTTGCTAATTAGACATTAATTACTTTCTAAACCATTAACACTTGCAGAAATAATTGATATCAAAGCAGGTAACATAAAACTAAAAATAAAAAAGGGCAGATTCTAAATCTGAAGCATTGTCTAAGCACTATGGTGGTTACTGCAGATCTTCCTATTGTTGCCATTTGTCTTTGTTTCAACTCCTGATTTTGATGCCTAATCACTTTCCTCATTGTCCTATTTTCTCCCCCAAAAAAGAGCAAAGTCAAAGACTTTAGTACTTTACATGCTGAGAAGCTTCCTTACGCCAAAGGCAATTCCTAAACACTTCTACCAACCTGCTTGCCTCGCCTTTTATTTGGCTTAAGCAGTCTACAGTTGAAAATAGTCTCAGAAGACGGCTCGCTCAAGCAGAGGAGAAC